GCTGATTATGAAGGGTAAAGTCGAAGGAAAAAGGGGTCCTGGTAGACGACAAATATCCTGGCTGAAAAACACGTGTAACTAGACCGGGTTAAACACACAGAAGGTCTTATGAAAAGCAGAAGATAGAGATGAATTTGAAATGGTTATAGCCAACCTTTATTACTGGAGACGGCACTAGAAGAAGAAGATAATATATTTATTTTAACATTTTTACTTTACGTAGAGTGCAAATGGTGGCAATTTGCGTGAGTAAACTGGTGATTTATTGTCGGAGTAAAGGTATTCCTAACATCGTCTTGTAACTCTTAGCAAGCTCTGATTTTGTTTACTTAAATCGACATCGATGAGAAGTCTTTTGACTTTATTTGTAACTTACAATTTGTAACTTTGGTAACCTAATTGGCAGAAGAAAAAGAAAAAAATGTAAAAGAGGTCTGAAACCCATAAACATAAGAATATGACAAGACCGAAATTAATTTTGGACCTCAGGTTTCTTCATTGAATCAAAAGGATATTTACCATGTTTTAAGACTCTCCTTTAATATTTTTTTTCTTTAACGTTTATAGCACAGACGACGATTCGAAGAAGGGACTGGATGGGGTCATTAATAAATAGCAGTTTCAGTGTTGCTCATTTATTCATTTATTTACGGGATGTTCCAATTTTTACAAAAATAGAATATTCTAACCATAACAAAAATACTAAAACTAAATATTAAGTAATGATTAAATAATTATTAGCTATTGGTACAAATGATTAAATTAAAATAAATTAAATTTTCCTGAAAATCTTTAGTTAAAAGGTCACTCATCTTCGATCCCTAACATACTCGGTCGAACAGTGCTTAAATCTGACATATTTTATATCTACCAGATCATGACATTTACTAAAGTCATTTATTATTGTGTAAGTATACAAAAACTATTTATCTTACACTTATATACTTCTGACCTGTACATTGCTATCTTAAAAACTGTCGTCAGTTATTAAATTATCTTTTTTCAAAATAAAAATAAATTGTTTTATTTTTAAATTTTAATGAGTTTTATTGAAAAAAAAAATTTAATAACATACTCTAACCTTTTCCTGTATTGGTCACATTAGGTACCAGTTATTTTGTCTATCTGTTATTATTTTAAAGAGTGGTTTCAATGTTTTTCCGTTAAAAATGTACAATTAGATCAACACTGTAACAATTTAACAACAATGAACAATGTAAAATGTACAATTAGATCAACAATAACATATTAACGTAATTTTTTTATTCTTCATCTACTAATGGCGCTACAACCATTTGTGAGTCTTGGCCTGCTTAACAATGTTCTTCCATTCTGCCCTGTCGGATACTTTCCTTCGCCATTGCCTGATGTTCATGGTTTTAAGATCCCTGTCTGCGTCGTCTGTCCATCTTTTACGGGGCCTTCCTCTTGTTCTGTTTCCTTGGGGCTTCTATCTCTGGACTACTTTTACAGCTCGATTATCTGGCATTTTTTCTAGGTGACCACGTCAGTTTAGTCCTTGTGACTTTACAAATCTAACAATATCTGCGCTCTGCATTAGTTCGTCCAGCTCGTGGTTTATTTTAATTCTCCACGAACCATCGCTGCATTGGGTTGGTCGAAATATTTTCCTTAGTATTTTGCGCTTAAATATTCTCAGTTGATTTTCATCATAGTTATCCCTAATTGTCAAAAATTATAAAATAACATATTAAACCTGAATATGGGTAAAATTTGGTTTGAATTAATTAAATAATGATAGTTTCGTGCTTTTGAATAAAGTTCCATCATATTTCAACCCTTAAAAAGCGACCCTTGTTAGAGATTAATGTAAAAAAATTAGTAATGCGAAGAAAATGATTTCGCCTTGGAACGATTTGCATAAAAAATTGGAATTAAGCTTAACTCACCCTCTGCTTTATAGTTTATGTCATGCCGATGAACCCTGATTGTTCTTAGGGGTGAAAACTACCCCTAATTTTCAAAAATTGTAAAATAACATTACAAATCTTAAGATGAGTGAAATTTGGTTTGGATTAGTTATTAAATAGTGATTTTTTTATACTTTAAAATACATTTTCATCCCTTAAAAATCAATTGTTATGAGTGCTATACGTAAAAACAATTTTTTGCCAAAATTTTGCAACTTTTCAACTTTTGAAAATCACCCTTTACAACATTGCAGTTGTAAAGGGTGCAGTTTATAAACTAATTTAATAGATATAAATTGAAAAAAGTAGAATTAAATACAAAAAAATTTATCAACATAAAAAGGCACCATATATTCTTATACATTTACATAAATAGTTGAAAATATTTACATTTATAGGTAAAACAATTATAATATTAATTTTATTCGTCATCAATTACATCTTCATCGTGATCTATGTCATCCTCATCTTCTTCCATTATTGGTGGACTATTATTGTACCCTTGACCTGAGCACCCAGAACAAGTAAAGTTACAGTATAAACCAACTTTTCTGCACCCACATGAAACGCCGCATCCTTTTTTGCATTGGCAAAAAATAATTTTCAAAAGTTCATCGGGTGCAGGTTGTTTGTTCATACGTACGGGTAATAACAAACCATCTTTGGAATACCATCCCCAGTCTGTTGCTCTGATATTTTCATTGCTAAGCCATAAACATATGAGCAAATGTTTTATTCTGTTGTATGGGATTTCAAAATAAGAACGCTTAAAATTTCGAATGTATAACGCCCCACTACCTAATATACCGGTTTTGTAGATTAATATGCTCCAAAATGTACTGTACTATACTAATGGAATTTTCCGAAAAAATAATTAATTGGTTTTTTAAAGTATTTCCTTTATTTTTAACGATAGAGTGTTTCCTCAAAAACGATTTTGTAGAGGTTTTTAAGAGCTACAAAGATCTGTGAATTAAATCTCTTTGGAACCCTTGGTGTTTAAATGGGGTGAGTTTAAAAGGCTCGAAAAAGATGGTGCTTGATCGTAAATCGATTCTTTAAACGGCTATATCTCGCCAAATATTCATTGTACAACAAATCTAAATAAAGAAAAATTTTTAGTCATTAAAAAAGCTACAATTTAGTACATTTTTATTTCTTTCATATATTCAGTATTTTCGGGGATATTTAAAAAAAGAAGGGTAAAAAATATGAAATTGTAAATCTCGCTTTAAACTGTACTTCTTCTAAAACTAAGCATTTTAAATGGGTCAAACTTCTTGGACGTATTAACAATACATGTACAAAGAGAATTGCAGAAGGGTGAAGATCGATTTTAATTATGGGAGTGGTTAGGGGTTGTTTTCATCGATTTTTTCGTAAAAAAAATGAGGTATTGGCCTTATTTTCATCATAACTCACTCAATTTTTGAGCTTTTTTTTATGATAGATTTATTTATGCTCTTTAAAAAAGGTTGCGTGAGTTTTCTTTCAAAAATGCATCATTTTCCCGATATTTGACTTTGAATCTTTCAAATTTGGCATTTGAAGAAAACCGCTGAACATTGATAGGCCGTATTTCGGTTCCTATTATATCGCAAAAACATTTTAAAAAATGAATTGTATTTGTCTTTTTAAAAGCTACAAATTTGTTCTCTACAATTTTTTGATAAAATGCACCATTTTCGAGTTATTCGCGAAAAATCGATTAAAAACGTCGATTTTTTCGTCTAAAAGTTGTTACTTTCAATCGCGAATAACTTGAAAAATATCAGTTTTACAAAAAAAAATGTATAGAACATTTTTTGTTTATAATCACTTTTTTAATTGAAACCTGTAGTTAAAACGTAAAAAAAAATTTCACCCCCGGGATGGGGTGACAACCACCCCCAAGTCTTTGGCGCACTTTAGTTCGATATAGATTTTGATCCTTAGGCTATTACCTACCTTCTGTTAAAATTTCAAGTTAATCCACGCAGGACGAAAAAATTACGAGGTGAAATGCTTCATTTCCTGGACTATAAGTGGTTTGACAGCATAATAAAATCGTAGATTTATGTGTAGCTTTCAATTTTTATGAGTTCAGAATCCAGCAGCCCGCAGAAGTAATGGGTTTTTATAATATAATTATTTGACAACCTTTTGTTGGCCAACCTCCTACAGCAGAAATGAGCCGAAATACATGATGTTTCCTATGTTCCGAATTTATTTCGTTCAATCTGTATGTGCATTTATATCGTAAAGTTAATACTAGACGAGATAATTCAATAATTATGCTTCCATCCCTTCCACTATTTTCCCCCTCAATTCGGAAAATATTGACCACAGGAACAAAATTCTAAAAAAGAAGTTATAGGAAATCGCATTTGCAACTATTTCAGTCATAATTCAAGGTGGCGGCTAACACAACGGTGGGATTCAGTCGCGATTTTAAATTTACATCAATATTGATTCCTACTGAAAGGATAATAAAATTTGTCAAAAAAGCTCGCCATGCAAATTTAGGTCTTTTTTCGTATAACCCGACTGGAACACTATTATTAAGGACTGTAGGCTGGCTTATACCTTCTTTACCTGGTTTATAGTATCCGGCATTATTTCTTCCTGATGTTTCATCCGCGACATGTCTCTTTAAGACGGATTGACAGTCCAATTGGTTCTCCTACGTTGTTTCAAATTGTGCAACTTCTTCGCTAAAATCATTCATTGGTCATTTGACACTTACATCAGAGATACTGTACATTTATTAAGAAAATAAACGATATTATATTAAAATGGAATAATATACTATTAAGTTTCGCTATTTTCATTATTTACCATGGTATCAGTGAGTGGCGCCATGGTAAATAGTCTAAAGCCGTGGCAATAGGTTAAACTCTAAGATCCAGGTTACCATGTTAATAAAGAATAATAAACAGATTGAATTTTTACCAATTTAACAGACGTCCAGGTGGTCCAACTGTTATCGATTTCTGATTTTACGATATGTTAATAAAAATATTTAGATTCATGTAGATTAATTCTTCATTTTTAATACTTATGAAATTAAGGACACACAATTATTTGCAGGTTTAGATGTCATGGAAGAAGTAGGAGACAGTGGTCCAATACAACCAAAACATCTTCGAGAGGCAGTGAGAAGAATGCGTCGATACGGTGGGATTCCAAGTGGTAGAGATTATAGGACGCATTATAGGATTTAAAAATAATAATATAAATAAAGTTTTGTATCTAATATTAAATATAGGTATTATTATTGCTAACCCAACAGATCACCTAAGACAAGAATATGGATCTCAGAACAAATGGGCAGAAATAGGGCTCACTTATATTTTATTGTAAGGTTTGGGCTTGCTAATATCTAGACTTTTTTTAATCGTAGAATACAACATCTGATCACTTCTCTCCTGATCTCGTGCGCCGCATTTGCTATTAAATGATACTTATAGCAACTGTTGAGTATTATTGAGTGAAGACACCTGTAGATCTTGAATAGGATATTTAGTTTTGATTGATATCCAAATTTCCATTAAATCGCAGCCTGTTTTAAGTTCTGTTGTAAAGTAGTTCAATTAAATTCTCTTCTTCTTGATAAAATTGTACAAATGTATGAGCATAAAATAAATTTTGGATCCAAAGCAAATTTTCAAAAATCTTCCAAGTATTTTACAACCAGTTAGTGAAATTTAAAACGTATTTTGTTAACAGAGACAGTAATTAATATTGTTCTGAAGCTATTTTCTTGTTGCATTGTAAATTAATTACTATTTAACTGGGAATAAGCCACAATTAAAGATAAAAATACGTTTATTGACGTTTCAATTTCCACTTTATATTTTTTAAATAACGTAACATAAAATCAGAATTTTGATGTTTGTTGAAGGTAAACTAAATTCACGAACAAATACTTACAATGTCGGGATAGTATTATGAGGTTTTTTTTCCTGGTTTTTCCCTCATAATTTACTATGGAATCACTAACAGGAAAATTTTACTGTCATCATGTCATGTGTTTGTCTTTTTAAAGACGAATTACATGCTATGATTTTTTCTGACGGATATTCTCAAGTTAAAGTTGATTTCATGTAATCGAATGAACTATCTTACAAGTAAAGTCGTCCCAGGAGCGCAACTCAACAATATTGGCAATATCATTTTAAAGTCGTCTACTTTAAAATGCATAATGTATGTCTGAATTGTCAATATAAATGAGTCAGATAAAATTAAATTATTAGAAGAATTTTTCACTATGTAACAAAAAACAAAATTTGTTTAATTTACTGTTTGTATTTTGAGAACGATTTCCGAAGTGGAAATTGAAACGTCAATAAACGTATTTTCATCTTTAATTGTGGCTTATTCCCAGTTAAATAGTAATTTAAGAGACAGTAATTATCGTGAAAAAACAAATTGATTAAGGTCACGTACCCATTCAATGGCTAAGGTAACGCCGAAATCATTTTGCTGGATGTAAAGGTGACATGCAGAAAATTGAAAATTATCGCGTTATCAATCTACTGTCTTATGTACATCTACATAAATTGTTTACAAAAAAAATAAGCAGATTAACTTCTAGAATGGACTCCTGTCAACCAGTAGAGCAATTGAGTTTCCGAAAAGGATTCGTACTATTGACCAGATTCCAGAATACAATATTAACCCTACACTATACTTAGGTTTTGTAGATTATAAGAAAGATTTTTTGGAGACCTTGGCACTTCTTACGGCACTGAATAACGCAAGAATCCTCTACAGGTATTCAAGTCTACTCGAACACATCATGAAAAAATGCTGGTATGCAAGTATGTCAGTAGAGGAAAGCTATTTCATACCCGCCAAAGTGAAAATATTTCGCTTGTTGTTTATCTGGACTTTCATTTTTAAAAACTTGTAATGGCGAAATACGGTTATTCATTTAGAACTGGGAATGTTGTAGACAATATTAGTAAGCTTATCTTTTTCTGTTTTATCCTTAATTTTTTTAAAAAAGTTTGTTAATTGTTAAAGCTGATCTATAAGTCACATTGATTTTAAAACAATTATCATTGTTACAGTTGTTATTTTCTAAATTATTCAGTATCCTGGTCAATCAGCTCAACCAACTTTACTACTTACAACCTCTCCAAATACTTAACTAACATCTTAACTGTTATTTTTGAAGATCAAATCAACTACAATGTGAAAGTTACAGTTGTCGAATAAATCAGGAATGTTACAATCCCCCAAAAGTATGTACTTATATTCCTAGATGCGGTATTGCTTTTCACGATAATTCCTCTCAACCGAATCATTAAAATTTCAGAATAAAATAGGCACCAGTAGTAGAACCCAATACCACACTAAGTAAGAATAATTTCTTCATCTTCTTCATCTCATCCAGAACAAAGTGTTCCTTTTTTAGTCACTAAAGTGATAATAACATCAGATAATAAGATCATTTTGAATTGGTATCAGAAACCAACTGACTGGACGATTTATAAATTATTTATCTCGGCACTTAAAAAGTCAAAAATGTAACACATTGGATAAAGAACAGAATTTTGCACATTGGCAATGATAGCGTTCATCTGAAGGACCTGCGGTTTGCAGATGATATAGTCCTTATAACCAACAACGTGGATGATCTGAAAAGTACTCCAGATAAATGTTATCAAATATCTAAGCATATTCCGTTCAAAATGAATCTTACTAAAATTAAAATCATGACTTCAGAAAATATACAAATAACTCTTGATAAATTGGACTTCATACTTTAATCTTGATAAATCCCCATAAATTTAAAACGAAGAATACGTATTGTATCTTGCTAGTCTTTACATACGAGCAGAAATAATGGTACTCGTACCTACATCCCCAAACAAGTTCCAAATAACAAAACGAGCCTTGTTATGAATAAGTTAAAGAGTTAAAAATGAAGAAATTCGAAGAAAAATTCGAGTACAGGACGTTCTTAAAATAATGGCAATAGGTCGGTCACATAGCGCAAAAGTCCTCGGATAGTTGGCTTCATAAGGAAACCAAAAGAAGTCTAGGCAGACCCTAGAGATGGTAAGATAATATTCAAATAGATTTAGGCGACACCTTCATCTGCTTGGATTGGCGCATGGCCCACGGTGCCGTGTTTTTAATGAAGCTAAATCCCGGAATCCTGAAAAAGACATCAGAGAGGATGTCGAAAGCTCGGCGCAGTAATAATTGACGCGGTTCAAGCCTGGTGAGTTTCTATTAATTTTTATAATAGTATTAATCTTAGCTTTAGGTTTAATTTGCGCTAACCGCGGAAATCTTTTTGAATATATTTATCATCCCGCCTTCAATTATCACGTCCACTGCTGGACATAGGCCTCCTTTAAACTCTTCCATTCTTTGCGATTTTGTGCTCTTTGTTGCCAATTTTTCGTGATACGCCTGATGTCGTCAGCCAACGTGTAGGTGGTCTTCATCTTTTAGGTTTTCTGCTCTTGGCCTCCAATGTGTAATTTTGCTCGTTCATCGTGAGTCATGCATTTTTGCTACATGGCTTGTCCATGGGGAACGCATAGCGGAACTAAAATGGAATTAAAATTTAGAATATATATATATATATATATATATATATATATATATATATATATAATATATATACGTATACATACAGAGTGGCCCAAAAGTCGGGAAACGGCTAATTATCTCGTAAAATGCTAATCATAATTGTACAAAATTTAAGGTACACGTATTTTGGGATACGGAGATTCCATATTTGATATTTACAATGTTGCCAGATTTGCCATTTTTCTTATATTATTAGTAACTTTGGTTTTTAAAATACATCACCTTGTATATTCAGTCATTATTGGAATTTCTTATTCAATACGAGTTCAACCATATGTAACACTTATGATTTTATGTAATCTGGAAGATCATAAATACATAAAACCGAAGTCTTTCAACGCCTAAATTGTTTCAATAAATTTTTTAATACTAACTATTTTCAAATACATTAAAACGTAACAATTGATAGTTTAGAACATTTTTTAACATAGTAGTTACGTTATTAAGTGTTCAAAATGTGCTCAATTTGTGAGTTGACAGCACCATAATCGATGGTAGAAGGCGTCTACCACATTTCTCCATGATTGTCTAGAATTTATTCGAGATTCATTGATAATTCGTTGCCTTAGCTCTGCAAAACTTGCTGGTTAAGTTTTGTAAACTGAATTTTTCAAGTATCCCTAATAAAAATAATATTTAGGATTGAAATCGGGTGAATGTGGAGGCCAGTCAATTCTCAATTCTATCTTGTCTACCAATTTATCGTCCAGGAAATATCTCATCTATATCGCCGAACATTTTTCGACAAAAAATGACCCAATTGAATAAGTAACTACTATATCTAACCATACATTTAATTTTTGTGGTCTTTGAGTATGGTTTTCACGCATTCAGTCTTCAGTGTGAATTTACGTCACATCAGTACCTTAAATTGTGTCGATTTACACTTCCACACAGTGTAAAAGTTGCTTCATCGGAAAAACATATTCTGTTAACGAAATTTTAATAATTTTCAATTTTATCCATCATTACCTCAGTAAACTCTAATCTACGACCAAAGTCATCTTCACTTAATTCTTGCAATAAGTTAATTTTGTATGATTTAAATTTATTTTTACGTAATAAACGTAAGACTGAAGAATGTCCTACATCATGTACTTGTGCAACCCTGCCTCGGGATGTATGTGGATCTTCAACAAAACTTTGCTTATATCTGAAGTTTTGTTGTCATTGATAACTCGTTTCGATCAACCTGATCGGTATCTATCTTTTACTTCTTCAGATTCCTCAAATCGCCTTACAGTTTTTTGTACCGTCGTCGTCTTATGAATAGGAGAACGGTTTAGAGAACGGCATTTTAGAGAAGCAATTTAAATTACAGAACTTTTTGAACCACAACTACTGTCAATTTTAGTTCATAATTTAAATGGTGAACAAATGTCAAAATCACAGCATTCTCCATTTAAATATTTAAATTTATTAAAATGTACATATTTTGCACTGTTTTATGAATTTAAGATCTTTCAGACTACATAAAATCAATTGAACATATGGTTGAACTCGTATTGAATAGCTGTGTGAAATTCACACTGAATGCGTGAAAACCATACTCAAAGACCACAAAAATTAAATGTATGGTCAGTTATAGTAGGCACTTATTTCATTGGGCCATTTTTTATCGAAAGAAATTTAACGTCAGATAGTTGGTGT